CGTCTTTTGAATCATCTTCGTAACGTGAGGGTTGTCGAAGAGTCCAAACGGCAAACCGACTTGAATGACACATTGTGTAGTCATTTGTCGGTTTAAATCGGCATCGTAGTTCCATATTTGACCTTGTGTGTCAAGTATCGGTTGGCTCGAATCACCCCACGACCTCAACCCCGGGCACGATATTTCGGTGTGCCTCCTTAACGTAGAATTTCCTTCCGCCGTAAGGAGAGTTTGACACATTTTGCATTGTGTCTTTCGTTTTCCGGTTGTGAGAACCACCAAGTTGTAGTGATTCCAAATCTCGGACTTTCGTCCGTGTTCGGCGAGAACTTGGGCAATTTGTTCGTTTGAGGGTTGTTCACTGGCCATTTTGTAAATCGCAAGTAAAAGAGAGAAATAAACGAGAATTGTGAAGTGGAAACGAGAAATTAATACGTAACGAATTCAAAAAATGAAGCGAAAAACCGATAATTGATAGCGTTTTTTGCGTTTTTGAAGATGAGATGAGTTGGTAACAAACTAAGGAACTCTCATCTCTATTTATACATGTTTTGGTAGCTAGAAAGATGAAAAAAACGGTCATAAGAAGGCTCCAACGGCTAGTTTGACTAATCTAACGGCTCCTTTGACTTCCAACGGCTAGTTTGACTATTTTGACTTTTGTTGACTTTTTCGTTGACCGGGTCGGGTCGGGCCCTTAACCGGTTACGTAACAGGTTCCGATTATAACCGGTTCCGGTCCAAGAATTCTCTAAAAAGTCCAACCGGTTTGTAACCGCCAGTCCACAACCGGTTACTACCGGTCCCGGTTCGGTTACGGGCTTCAGGCGGTCTCGGTTACGGGCCTCCGTCAGTTACGGGCCGGGCCGGTTACGGATGGCCATCTCTAGTTTAGAGTTTACTAGTTTAGGGCCTAATTTCCTAAAGCCCAAATCGTATTTTTGCCTTTAGAGTTTAGGCCCGGCTTGTGCTGTTGTGCAGACTGCAGTTGTGCGATACGAGAGCGAGAACGACGAGCGTGAACGACAAGCCAGAGCGAGTGAGCGACGCGACTGTAATCAGGGCGTGAACGACGAGCAGGGACGATAAGCCGACCGAGTACCGACAACCAGGTTACCAGGGCCACCACCAGGCAGGGACACTGTCAACAAGAAGAATCGATTCGATTTTGGACCGAGTCTTGATTCTTGAAGACTCGGACTCGGACGATTCAGAAATCAGAATTGATCAATCGAAACTCACTCACTTGAACTCGGACGATTATTCAGATTTCATTTCAGAATCGATTCAATTAGGTTTAGGTATACATTTTTAGTTYTAGTTGATTATTTACTTGATTAGGTTTAGGTATACCGTATACATTTTACTCTTGATGAAATTGATTATTGATTTGATTAAGCATTTGATTTGAGTACTGTCTACACTCTAYTGTGYCTACYGTCTAGTGTAGATTTGCAAAATRMAAATGTGAAAGTGAAATTGATTTGAGCAATAAGCAATTGAGTATTGAGGCATTGAGCTAYTGTGTCTACTGTCTCAACTCTCATTATTGATTTTATTATTGATTTGCAAATTTACTCATTGTCTCATTACTGAATACTGATTACTTATTATTGTTTTCATTACTTAGATTTACGATTCTCATTCATTATGGAAAAATATTTGAAGCGAAAAGCTTCATCATCAACCGGTAATAATGATGCATCCAACAATGTGATTGATGTTAACGATCTTCCTTGGGATCCATCAGAGAGACCCAAAATTATAAGTTATAAYCMAAATCAAAGAGACGAAATTAGACGAAAATACTTGGTAAGGGGTCCTTGTCAACCACGAGGTCACATCTTTCCAACCAAAATTATAGGGGCTAAAGGGAGACGGTTTGTTGTTACTTGGTTTGATCAATTTCAGTGGTTGGAATATAGTGTAAAAGTAGATAGAGCATACTGTTTTGGATATGCAGATCCGAGAGTTTGGTGATCGTT